ATTATTAAATTATTAATTATGTTTAAATAATTTGAATATCATATCATATTATAAAAGAATATAATTGCTATTGTATATATATATACTTTTAATATAAATATATTTACTTTCAATTTTATGTTAACATTATAAAAATTATAACTCATAAAATTATTAATTATAATATACTGTTGTTTATATAAACTTACAATATATATACTTAAAGAGAGTTTTTGAGATTAGAGTAGTATTGGAAGCTAACTATTTTTTTTAATTTCATGAAATTAAGGACACATACATATAATTAATTAGTGAAATTATGATTATTAATTAACTTGTAATGTCTTTTAATATCTATAGTTTATATATTGTGTTAATTTATAAGAAATATAATTACTATTATATATATACTAAAATATTTTTAATATATATATATTTTTAAATATAAATATATTTATTTTTTATTTTGTGCTAACATTAAAAAAATTATAGCTTATAAAATTATTAATTATGTTTGAGATATTTATTTTTGATAATTTAAATTTTATTATTTATGTGTTTTATTAATTTAATTATTAATAAATTATATGAAATATTTAAAAAATATATTATTATATATGAATACGGATATGAATTTGGGTAATTGGGTATTCATGAATAATATTTTAATAATTTTTTATGTAATCGAGTTTTTAAACTGATTAGAGTAATTATAAAGCGGTGAGGATATATTAGGATTATGGTTAAAACAATAATTTTTAAAAATATTCAAATAGTTAATAAGATTTGGATACATTTTTTTTTTATAAAATTAAAATTTAAATATTTCAAAATTAACAAGTAACTTACCGGTTGCAACCTTAATATTAATATAACACAAAACAAAACATGCATATTTCTCTTAACCTAACTTGACGGTAAGGTTAGCCCAATTCTGGTGTCCAATTTCAAGACTCGACTTGAGGATGGGTTCGGGCTGCCTTCATTTGAAATATTTTATTAATGGGGTGCTTTATAGACACTTGTTGAAGTTGGTAAAAATATTATATTAATAAATGATTTTCATTTAATGCATTATTATTGAATTAAAAAAATATTGATTATTATAAATAATGTCACAATGAACAATGATCTCATTCATAGTATATATTTGGCTTAATGTCTTTGGCAATGGCCTTACTCTCTCATTAACGATTTTTTAATATCTAGATCACAATTATTTTATGAAAAATTGTTAATCATGGTTTCCAATTAAGTTCCATGATCTTAAAGTAAACAATTCAATCAACCTCTCTTCACTAAAAGTGCAACACAAGCATATTTAGAACCCTGAAATTCATCCAATGTTACGTATTTGTCTTAAACTTTTTAACTTATAACTAAAATTTTCGTTTACTATATTGGTTTAGATATTAACTTAACCATTAAACATCATTTGGTAACACGTGGCAATTAATTAGAGGTGATCATAAGTTGAGTTAAATTTATTGAGTTTCTTTAATTAAAACCATATTGAGTCCAGTTCAATCATCAATTTAACTCTAATTTATTTATTAAAATACTATAATATTTATTTTTATTAATTTATTAATCTTTAAATATATTTTAAAATTAAAATTTAATAAAGATATGATATTTATTAATAAAATAAGTTGATCGAGTTTGACTAACCCCACCCTAATAAATTATGCTGAAACCCACTCGGTACTAAACTGGACCCACAAACTTGAGGGAATAGCTGGACTCATCACCGCTTCCACAACTAACAGACGGCGAATGCTCCTGTCCATTTTTGCAGATAAAACAAATGAAGTTTTTTATACAAAGTTCCCAAAAATATAGAAAGGAAGCAAACACAACTCAAGACACCTTCATGCCGTAGGGAAAAGCACAAGCCCAAGCATCACCTTATTTTATTAACAATCAGGAAATAGCACCATAATCTGCACACTTATAGGCTTGCCCATGAACATTTGACCAATGTTTTGATTAGTGGCTGACACAATGAAGAAGTGAAGCACTGGTTTTGTCCCCAGACAACATTCCCTTTGATGCAACATCACTGAAATTCAGCATATAAACTCAACCTTTTTAAGCGACTACATCACCTCGTTACGGTTTTCAGGAAGGATAAACGGGCATTACTCAAATTAATGGGAGATATATGTATTTCACCCAAGATGTTCGTAACAATCTTCTTTCCCTTCATTTATTTATTGCCTCCATAAAGCATCCCATGCAAATCATTTAGTAAGTGAACCTCCTGCGTGAACGCAAGTGATGGGCTCAAGTTCCATCTTAACAATCAGGAAATAGATTTTCTCTTATATGACATGCTTATAACCACTTTTCCTACCCTTGTCTATATTTCATACAGTTCCAGATAAACAGCTCATCTAAATGAGTCCCAACAGCTCAAAGTCCAAGAAAAATGAAGTAAACTGAGGCCACACATAAAACTGAAGAAGGTCGATAACATAGACAAGTATTCAAACATCTCCGTTTGAGGAAACCAATTCACGTATGTCCATGCATTCATCAACAAATCAAATGCAAATCCATTTGATTTATGCAAAGAAAAGTATAAAGGAGCAGTTTTGTTTCTAATATTAGAAGCACCATCTAAAGATGGCCACCCCTCAATGCAAGCACAAGATGCAGCACAGAGCCACCCTCAATATTGTAGTCGCGAGCCGTCTTGTCATCTGCAAGTTGCTTTCCGGCGTATATAAGCCTGCAACAAGTTGTCAAAACCATCGGATCAACTTTATAATGACAAGTTGGCCAAAAAATAAGCATTATATTAACAAATCAACAGCCAGAGCACTATGGTTATGAACTTAATCCTACATGTGGACAGTCAACAAACAAGTCAGCCTTGATAAGTATGTAAGACCCACAACCCAACCATGTCTTACCTCTTAAGAAATATGGAATTTAACAAATATGTTCCTGATACATTTTGCCCAAAACATCTACTAAATGAAATTATACCTAATTGCATCAGAAACAATATATTATTAAAAACAGACTTACAAAATCAACGAACTTTACATCCCATATACGAAAAAATCGTGAAATGAAGAGGGCCAAAAACACCTGCGTCGAAATATAATAAACTAGTTCTCCCCACAAAATTATATTAGCAAGTGGAAAATAATACATTCAGAATTTCCAATCAAAATCACAATGCAGAAGTATTTCATTAATCAAGTAAATCCTACAGTGAAGTTCAATAAAATAACAGGAAAGACCAAAAATACCTTTGCTGAACTGGAGGAATTCCTTCTTTCTCTTCAACCCGTTCCTTAATGCGATCAATGGTATCAGTTGGTTCAATATCAATTTCAATTTCTTTCCCAGTGAGAGTCTTCACCTTGATCATAGTTCCTCCCCTAAGCCTCAAAACAAGGTGAAGTGTGGACTCCTTTTGGATGTTATAATCAGCAAGAGTTCGGCCATCTTCCAGCTGCTTACCAGCAAAAATCAACCTCTGCTGATCAGGAGGGATGCCTTCTTTATCCTGGATAACATGATCCATGGTCAGTAATCAAGAAGAAAGTAAAACCTTCAAACAATGTTCTCTTAATATTGCAGCCCTAAAATAGGGGGTGTACAGAAAGAGTGAAATTAACACAAACCACAAATCAAAGCGAAACAACTGAAAAAAGTAGGGATAAGGTTTTTCTTAAGCAATGCAATGGGAGTTTGGTGCAAGGATGCTTTATAGGTATGCACTGCAGTCTCTTTATCAGCAATGGGGATGGCGGTACACAAGACAAGAGCCAAGTATGCCTCAAAGGTTGAACAGAGCGCTCACTCACAGACTTGAATGGAATTGCAAGATTGCATGTAATCCGAGACTTTAGCAGTTGAATTGTAACAATTAAAACAAATAATTTAACTAAATTATAATTTCGATGCAATCTCCAGAGAATGACTAAGTCCACATAAAAACAACAGGATTCCTCACTCCTCTCTAAGACTAAGTTTGCAGTTCCGTAAGAGGAAAACATTACCCCCAAAAAAAAATAAAAACAAAGCATAACGAAACAATCATCCATTAAGGAAATTAGGCGATATTAGGAGGGGAAATAAAGAACAGAAAGAGAATAAAACAAAGGAAAACCTGAATCTTGGCTTTGACATTGTCGATGGTGTCACTGCTCTCGACCTCGAGGGTAATAGTCTTCCCCGTTAGGGTTTTGACAAATATCTGCATCTTCTCCTTCGCACACAGTTACTTCATTTCAAGACCAAATATATAGTAAGTATTATTCTTTTCTTTTTTGTTACTTAGATGAATACGAAGAAATTCGAAATATTTGATTATAGAAAAAGAAGATTGAAAAACAATTTCTGCTGAAATTTTTACCTCGTGATTTTCAGACGAGAAGAAGAAGATAACGGCTGCTTCCGAATACCAAACCGATCACTGACTAGTTCAAGTTCAAGTTCTCTGTTCGGGGATTCGTCCTCATCTTCACACTGGGCCTCAGACTCAACTTGAAATTGGGCCTGGGCCCCTTTTTCTATAATTTGTAAGACCGTAGGGAATAAAAAGGGGAGTGATGGGTAAAGTGGTAATTACAGAAAGGGCTGATTATTACTATATTTATTTATATTTTGACGCTGTACGTAGTCGTTGAAAATTTTCTCTGTGTTTCCTCTCGGCTTCCTCTGTCTCTTTCTCTGGTCCGCCTTTTGGGAGACGAATTCCGGGTTTTTGTCTCTAAGGAGAAGAGAATTTCTTTATGGATAAGAGATGCAGAAGCTGCGTTATTGGATTGGTGATGGTAGAGAAACACAATCATCAGCGGCCTTCTGACTCTAATGTCGACCGATTCACGCCTTGGTTTCGCTTTTTTCATCTCCCCAAATAGTTCTTCTTTTCGTATTGATAAGATTTCCAAGCCTACCAATCCCGGTTAAATTAAGGTATATATTATCTCTTCCTGATTTTCATTCTTATTATTGTTAATTTCAATTATTTCAGTTTTAGCTACCATATAGTTTATTCTTCAGTTAATGTAGACACAAACCCTACCACACCTATCCGTTAAGCTTTGTATAATGGTTGCTTTTTTGTGTGTAGCGTTTGCCTCTTGTGCTTTTATGATGGTATTTTGATTTATCGTAATTGATTATTAAGGTTTAGTTTGGCATCCTGTCGTTTGGAATTTAGAATTTTTGCTCAAACTAAGGCTTAAGTTGAAGAAACAAAACAAAACAAATTTGTCAGAAAATGTTTATACTTTACAACAGGATGGTTCTATTTGTACAAACAAAAATTTAGAATATGTTGGACTCCTCAAGCCACTGATTCTGTTACTGAATGGGTTGGTATCGCCTATCAAAATAATTACTGAGTGGGAAAATTGCTTGATGGTTTCTATTTCCGTCGTTTTTAGTGAGGCTGCTTAGGCTCCCTTGGGTTGAAAGTTTTGTTATTTTCTTTTTGTATTTGTTTTTTTTTTCTTTGGTCGCCATTAATTTATAATTTTTGCTTTTTATTTTATATTATTTTTTACCAAAAAGAAGGTAAAATGTAACAAACAAAACTATCAATCAAACCCAGGCATTGGCTATCTGTTGTTTTTGAGGTGGATTGAGAAGAGGAAGAGGACGAAAGGAGCTTGTCTTCAACAAATTTTACTTGACCAAAAATGAATGTTACTGCCGGCTCCCCCTGTAAAAAGATGTCCTCAACAAGAGGTAAAGGCGAATCATCAGGCTGGAGTGCCTTTGATCTCAAGCAGCGGCAGAAACAAGGTCTGGTACCTGAAACTGAAGATGACCCTTTCCCTCCGATGCCAAATAGTCTGCCGGCCATCCGTCCCTGCATAAACCTGGCAAAAAGTAATGATCTTTCAGCAAGGTCTTTCTCATCTGTGCTTAAGCCCTCTGACAATTTTCCTACTTCAAAACAGAATAAGGATTATACAAAACCAATAAACGTGGGCAAGCCTACTGAAAATGATGGAGATAAGGTAGTTGACCGAAACAATAATAATTTAGCTCTTAAAAGGCTTAAAGAGCTGCATTGCTGGGCTGAGAATAGTTTGATTGAGGATGTCTTGTTGGCTGCCGATAATAATATTCTTGAGGCCTCAGCTTTATTGAAAGGAATGATGTCCATCAGTGGCATTGAGGATATCAAGGAAACTAAAAATAATGAAATGAGCTCCACCATTTCTGATTTTCCAGGCAATGTCAACTGTGACAGAGGTATTTCAACAGTAAAGACTGCTAAGCTTGTTTGCCAGAGCTCTAAAGCTGATGAAAGGGAAGACAATCTTGACAAGTTGACAGATATGCAAGAGAATAAACTCTTTGATGGTGTCTCTAATATGAAGCTGATTCTGGGGCAATTGACATCTATACCTTTTGAGCCTGAGTGGGAAGAAGATGATGTATACTTGAGCCATCGAAAGGATGCTGTAAGGATGATGAGGTATGGTTGCCTGGGCTTATATATATGCACACACACATAGACACACACACACATGTAAGGCTTGAATTTGCATAAGTAAGATGACTTGCTACAAGTACATGCATGTTCATTCAACACAATTGTTGGGCTGTTTAGGATCTTGCATGAAATTCTAAAATAGTTTTACTAATAGAACCTTGTGACAAAATGACATCTCATGTTTCAAGTTTAATCTGGATATGGTTTTTGCTCATGAACTTTGAAAATATTGAGTTGCTCCCTTTAGGTTTTAATTTATATCCATTAAAAACTTGTCTGACAAATGGCCAATCTTTCATTAAAGTGCCACATGGTATCTGCACCATGTGTCGGTTGACATGCGTTAAAAGTTTGGGATAAATTTGCACTTATCACAACTAAAGTTTGACTTGAATATCTTTTTTGTTCTCAAACATGAAGGAGTACCAGTCCTAATCTTTCCATTTATACCAGTTAATCTTTTTTGGCCTGTCAAATTATCAATACCTCTATTAAATTATTATGTTGCAATTACATTAAGTTAGTTGGGCACTAAGGAAAAAGGGTGCTTATAAGCTGCTCGAACCCCTTTCCCTCTTAGCACCACATGGAAAAAGTATGGTAGGCATGTTGGAAACACTCGATACAATGCTGACATGGCTATTTTGTCAAGTTTTTATCATAAAGTTGATGGATAGATGACATTGATACATTTTGATAAGTTCATGAGGCACAATGCTCCAATTTAAGGGTTAATGTTTGAGGTGAAACTTTGAAGCAAGGTCTTGGACCAGAGGTCTAATTTACCCCTATAGATAAATTTATGAACTTACCCAAATAATCACATAAAAGTGCATCTATGAAGTTTTATCTTTTTACTTATATAAATAAGTTGGAATTTCGAATTTTTTTATTTCCATAAGCAATCCCACCTCCCCAAAAGTTACTCTGCCCCTGATGTTGTAAGGTTTGGAGGATGTTCTTATATCTGTATTTGACGTATTTTTTCTTCAGCCCCAAGTACTGTACTCATCTTTATGTTCTTGTTGAAATGGAAATTTAAAAGTTAAATTTTATACTTTCCACTTAGTATTGATAGATGCTGGGGATTCACCTGTTCACATATTCTCTCCACTGGATAGGTCAGCATCTCAACACTCTAGGGCAGCCACTAATGCATTTTTGAGGGGTGACCATTTTTCTGCACAGCAGCACTCTCAAAATGCTCGAGAAGAATGGTTAACTGCTCAGAGACTTAATGCTAAGGCAGCTAGTGAAATTTTAAGAATCAGAAATAGCGACAATGACTTGTGGAAGTTGGACTTGCATGGTCTTCATGCAGCAGAAGCTGTCCAAGCCTTGCATGAACATTTGAGACGGCTTGAGTCCCAGGTACCAGTGGGCCGCTCAGTTTCTCCTAACAGATTTAAGGCAAATAATGGGATTGTTCGTTCGTCATCTGTTGAGACATTTAGTTCTATGGATAAATTGGATAAGCAACAGACATCATCTAGGCAGAGGCCTACATCGTTACAAGTCATAACAGGTAATTTGCTTTATTCAATAAATACTTGCTAGGTTGTTTCTGAAAACTTGTACGTATAGACCAGAAACTCGGACAATCAATTTAGTCTTTCAAAAGATAATTAGTTTGAGTTGTCAATGCAGGTTACTTAATGTTTTTCACTAAAATTGGTAAAGTGAACACCTTAGGTGGTTTGTGCATAAAATACAGTGGCAGCTGCACTGATGCTTTATTTTTCTCCTACAGGTGTAGGCAATCATAGTCGTGGACAAGCTGCGCTCCCTGCAGCCGTGAGAAGCTTCCTCATAGAAAATGGGTGAAATATTTAATAACCTCTTCCTTTTTTTTTTTCTCCCCCACTTTTTTAAGCATATATTGTAATAGTTATGTACATTTATTGTCTCGTTTATCTAATAGTGGGGGCTAAAATACATATGTTTTTCTTTATCTAATGATGATAAAGCAATGTTGATGATGATGAATAACATTATTTGCAGATATCGCTTTGATGAGGCAAGACCAGGGCTAATTACTGTTAAACCCAAATTCCGGCGTGGTTGAACATTATTCAATAAAATGTTGTTATTTATTAATTTGAAGAACTTAGTCTTAAGCTGTTTGTTGGTGGATAATTAAATGTTGGGAAGTCGCCATTGGACTTCCTTTGGATGTGACTCATGTACCATGTCAGCTGCTATGACCTTTTTGCTTCATTTGTATCTTTGACCTAAGGTATAAATATTTAGTCAAAACTCAAAGTTTACCCCATGAGTATTGGTTCGGTGGTCCTTAGTGGATCTTGATTATTGACTCTTGTGTAGCATTTGATAAAATTGTATCCAACAATATTGAAATTTGAATCGATTGTCTAAACCCATCTGGATAGAATGATTAATCCTTCTGGTGATGAAGCTAATTAAGAACTGATCAATTCACAAATTAGACCCAATGGATGAAATTTGAAATTATTTTTTTTAATGATTTATTTTAAATTTTTATTTTTTTTCAAACAAAATTGGACAATTAACCTCATTTCATGACGTTCAATTAAAATTATAGCTGTTTAATCAAATATTTATTTTTTAAACATTTTACCACATTTAATAATTATATAATAATAAAGTTTTATCTTAAAAATCCTAATATGAAATTAATGGATTGAACAGATTGGATCATTAAATCTCTTGATTGAATTTAGGTTTCGATCTAATTGTTAAAACATTGGCACCCATTGCATCCAATTGTATTATTAAATGATCAGATACTATAGTAAATTTTTATTTGAAAAATTCAAATCATTAAACCTCTTTATATTATTATTTCATTTTTGATCTAGTTATTAAAATATTGACACCCACTACATGATAAAATACAATAATAAATTTTTATAAAAAAAAACTTGATATTAAATCAATAGATTGAACCTATAAAATCATTAAACTTTTTAATCAAATTAAATTTGATCTCCACCCGAATATTTAGTTTATTGATTGGTGCATTATCTTTTTGCCTAAAAAACATTATTCAAATCCCTCTTCCAACTATAAAAAAAATTAAATTTGATCCGATTATTAAAATATTGACACCCAACAAATGATAGGACACAATAATATATTTTTATAAAAAAAAACTTAATATTAAATCAATAGATTGAACTTATAAAATCATTAAACCTCTTAATCAAATTAAATTTGATCTGATTATTAAAACATTGACATTCTTTGAACCATCATTGCACTATAAATGATCCATACAATAGTAAATTTTTGTTCAAAACAAAAATCAAGACATTGAACCAATGGATTAAACCAACGAAATCATTAAATCTGTGTCAAATTTAAGTTTGGATCCGATTATTAAAACATTAAAGAGATTATTGGTACAATAATTAATCATGATTAGGATAAGAGTAAAGAGATCATTTTGCAGATTTAATTTGTAAGGACAGGAGTAAAGGCCACGCACAGTTGCTGGAGCTAGTAGCACCACATGGCACAAGTGCCAAATGAGCGTGCCCAATTGTCCCTAATCTTTTGCGCCTTCGCATTTGGATTGGGGATGTGCCACTATGAAGTGGAAGGATAAGGCATCTTTATCGTAACCCGCACTGAGACCACACTTGCACTATTCTGATTTCTCTAAGATTACCTTTTCCTTTTCACCTCACAATCTCCAAAAGGTGCCACACCATAGCATACCTTTACTTTTCCCTGATCAATGAGAGCGCAGGCTTGAATAGAGATGTGTATCTCGCATTCCTCTTCTAGCAGAGCAAGACTACGAGCATTGGATCTGTTCTCCAAATCTGAGCTCATTTTGTAGATGCGACATCTCTTTCCATCAACCAACAGCACGTAGCCACCCCTACATTGAACTTTCTCACCGCCGTTTTATCAATCATGTGGGGCCGAATCAACTTTATCAATGCGGTAACCAAAAGCAAGGTAAAGCCAAGGAATTTGTGCATTCAGTATACATGTTAACGCCTGGGAGCAGGCAGCGCGTGATTCATTGCATGAGATGAAAGGGATGTGATTTCTGATTTTTTTTTTTATATTTTTTCTCCTTTTCACACGAAATGCATTGCGCTTATGTACACGTCAGGAATCACCGGCTAATATCAGTTACCATCTTTTTAAGCTTTTCACATTTGTTTACGTATTTATTCCGTAGATTGGGGGACTGCTTGCAGCACAAACGCCTCCTTTTCCTTTTTTCTTTCTTTAATGAACAAAATTACAAACGAATTAAATTTTAGCCATTAAATTTTCCTTTGGTTTATTAGGTGAATATCTTTATCAAATATTCTACTTAAGGTCGGCAATTCCATGTGGATCAAATTTTAAGGATTTTTCTAAAATATTCTCTTCTTTTTCAAACTTTTTGAGTATTGGACCCAAAAAGTATAGGAGATTTGGAATTTAAGTGTCATAGTCTTTTATTCTCCAATTATGTGACACATTTCTTTACGAATACAACCTTTCAATATCTTATTAGTATTTTTAGAAATCCTCCTTGAGGAGTGTGATGTCATGGAATTTCATTTTTTGTTAGACTTTCTTTTTGGGATTAATTAAGTCGTAGATTTATATTATTTAATTTTTCTTTATACTATATTAAAAATTATTTGAGTTAGTAGGCCTTGATTGAGAGAGAATATTATCATCCATGACACGATATAATGGAGTAAGTTAAACTCTAATATTATATATGGGGCTCATTAGTGTTGGCTTGTGTTAAAAACTCTAAATCCTACCATGATTAGGATTAGGGAATCATTATATAACCACTAAAGAGAATGTCATCCATTAAAGAGTTATACATCAAGGAAGAAGAAGATCCTAACCTCAGCAATTAACATGGTTAGTTCATGAAATCATGTATGGAGAATTAGTTATGTTTTCATACTCTAAATTTCTATTGCAATGAATCTTGATTTAAGTATAAATTGATTATATTTATTTGCCTCCAAAATTTTTTATAATGTATCAAAAATTAAGTATGTATTTTTATTTTAAATTTGTAATACGATGAATCTTGAATTAGGTATAAGTTGATTATATGCTTATTTGACTCCAAATTTTATAGATCCAAAAAGTTGTAAAAATCAAGGGAGAAGAAGATCCTAGTGGTTAGTATTGTTTCTGTGGTGATCTTGAATTAAGTATAAATTAATTATACTTATTTGTCTCTAAATTGATTATTACGGATCAAGAATTAAATATTTATAGGTGCACAGTTCTAATTTGTAGGTCAAAGAAAAAGGGTTTTAGATGTGCATGTGGCTTTGATTGTTTGTTGGGGAGGAAAGAGAGAGTGGAAGTATGTGGAAAGAGCGAAAGCTGTGAGGTACAAATTTAGGAAGATATTTGCCAAAGGAAAAAATGAAAAGCAAAGGCTGGCATTACCATTCTTTTAATTGGATGATTCCATTTTGGATTCATATGAAATATATAATATAATAGGAGGAGTAATGTTTCCAAAAAGAAAAAAAAAAATCCCAACACTTTCCTAAATCCTTGTGATCATGCGAATCAATGCTCCCTTCATCTTCGCTCCTATAAATATGCAAAAGAAAAGATTACACAGAAACAAACTTGATTTTCAGGCACAACGCTTCTTCTTCCTTGTTTCTGTTCTTAGCCTTATCATATTTAACAGGCATTATCGGGTTCTGCAACAGAATCCTAAACCCTGATCCAATATCTCTGTTGGGTTCTGCAACTTTACTTGGTTTTTTGCTTCTTTCCCCACTCTCACCAATGTTTTGATTGAGGAGGAGAAAGAGCAAGGGAAATAAGATTGTTTGCACCATACGTATAGACAGAGAGTAGGCAAATGGCGATTGAATACGAGCCCATCAAGGGATGTAATGCCGACGATATGCAGGATTGTACGGAGGACAAGCATTTGAAGATGAATGGCAATGCAGACAAAATCGAAGAAGATGATGATGATGATAAGGAAATGGGACAATTGGCCCTTCAGATCTCTGAACCAACCATTTCCAACAAAGGTGAAGAAGGCCCCTTAATGCCCATTTCCAACTCAACCCACCTTGCCCGCCGCCGGCAGCAACAGCCACAACATGCGCAGCAGCGTCTTGTTTCCTTGGACGTTTTCCGGGGGCTCACCATTGTGGTAAAATCTCCTCGAAATATTCTCCATTTTTACTTATTTTCTTTTCACGTTTTTACACCGTCGTTATGGTTGTCATTAATGCGTTCATCCGTTAGATATCCTTCAATGATTCCTTGCTCCCGGTTGCATCCTGAGATTACTTTTCGTTCACTCGACATGATGATCTCTGAACATTTCGATCTGATATGCATTTACTTCCTTTTAAACGTTTCCATTGTGCAATACTCCAACAAACTCCGCAAATGGATGGAAATCTTAACAGATTTCCTTGTAAAATACTTTATTGGCCCAAATAAAGAAAAATTAGAATCCCAGTAGAACTCGTAAATGGATATTTGCTTTGTGAGCCCCAACATTGATGGATGCTTTAATTTGAAGCTGCTACTCTTAACCACTGTTTAGGCTGAAATTTTTAACAGGTGTCCTTCCAAGTCCAAATGCTTCATCTTAGAGAAAGAAAGAAAGTCACACCTCCATTCTTTCTATAAGGCTGGGATTCCCTGCCGTTTTAGGCTTTGTTCGCTGCACTTTAATGGATAGTTCGCATTCGCATTCTGCCTTAAATATAATGTTTGCTTGTGTATTGACTCAAGTTCTTATTGTTTCTTATTAAAAAAATTAATTGAAAATTAAAATCAAATATGCAAGCTGATTACAATAAGTAAGAACAACATCTATGCACAAATTTTGATTAATACTATTTGATGAATGATGAATATTAAGTCATAATTTTCAATAAGATTTATATTTCAATAAACTATTAAAACTTGTTAGCAATATATAAAATACATTTTGTAATATGACTTCATCAATTAAGATTTTTTATCATAATTTTAATTTTAATCATTTTTATTGAGAGATTTTACCAATTTAATTGACTTGTAAATCTTATTTAAATCTTGCCCACAAACATTCATGCCCTATTATGATTGCAAATTAGTTGGTTAGTTGCTCTGTTAACTTCCTGTCCCCTAGCTGCCTTCAGGGTCAAGAGTTAAAAAGTGGTTGTGGGATCAAAAGGGTAACCAAAATAACAAAGCATTCTTTATTTTCACTTCGGAATGAAGCATCCAGTCTAATTCCTTGCACCTTTTTCAAATTTCAAAGGTAGAAATAATCATATATTAGGAATCTGTGGGTAATACCAATATACAGGAACATAAAATAAGCAAGCATAAAAATCATACTGTAAGAAATATTATCATAAGGTACAATTCCACATTCTTAATTAACTATGCATTGTATAAATTTTTTTGATGAGATGTATCCTGTAATTTATTGTCCATTAGAACTATTTCTTGAGTCTGTTAATTTATGCCAGATAACATTTCCAGATTGATTTGGAATTTTCTGATTTCTCTCCTGTTTAGTATCCAAACCCTTTTGACTATCGAGATCAATCAAGGGTAAACCTATGGAGTAAAACTATTGCAATGAGTATATATAATCATATGAATTAGAAATTGAATATAAAAGTTGAACCTTCCTATCAGCTTAATCTTAAGTTTTGATTCGAACTTAACTATCTCTGTAACATAGTATCAAAGTAGATGTTTCAAATTTGAATCCTCGAAACCTCTACCATTTTTAGTAAACTTTTTCATCCACAAACGTTTCCATCGGTACTTGCATCAGTGCCCTTTAATCCTTCTTGAGCTTGCAATTTCTTTCTATATCTGGATTCATGTACAGAATTCTTTGATCATATTTAATGTTTCTAGGTGCATTAGAACTTAAATATAAAATTTTGATCATTACTATTAGTTTAAGGCTCAATATTTTGGATAATTAATCACTAAATTATTTCTTTAATAATGTGCAACAAAAATATCTGAATAAGATGGTCCATTTTGACTGGAGGCTGTAGAGGTTTGAACTTTGAACTAATTCTAGTATACACGGTATCTTCCTGCTGAGAAGCAAATTGATACCAAACTCAAGACCATTTAAGAAAATTGCAATGCATATTCTATCTCAACTAAATTTGAAACTTAGTGATATAAGTTTTGAGTTTTGAAAATTTTCACAATTTTCATTTTAATTTCTTTGTTTCATTTAAGCACCATGTAGTTTCTAAGGTAGGGATACTGCTTCATTTATTTAAAATATTTTTTTTTTATTTTTTCATTTTTGATGCAGCTAATGATACTTGTAGATGATGCCGGTGGACTTCTACCTGCAATCAATCATTCGCCATGGAATGGTTTAACCCTTGCAGATTATGTCATGCCATTTTTCCTCTTCATTGTTGGTGTTTCTCTAGGACTGACATACAAGGTACGACTTGCATCTGGAATGTATTGTTTTTGATTCAAAGCACTCAAATACTTGTAATATCAGTTTAATGATCCCGCTATTTTCCATACCGTGTTAGGAAAGCAGAAAAGCTTTGAATAATTGTATATCACATTATATGTCAATTGTGTCCAAGTTTTATGTGTGCTGAATGTACCTCAACTGCTATCACTACTGGCAATTATTTAACATTAACAAATTGATTCTTTGCACAGAGATTGTCATGCAGAGTTACTGCAACTAGAAAAGCAATATTGCGGGCATTAAAGCTTCTGATCCTGGGCCTTTTTCTACAAGGTGGCTTTGTATTTCCTTAACCCTGCACCACACATCATGGCTCTGATAGATTATGAATTTCTGTTAGTCTCATGGCATATAATTAGCCTATAATTTCTGATCACTGCCAGGAGGCTTCTTCCATGGGCTCAACAATTTAACTTATGGGGTGGATATTCAACAAATGAGATTGATGGGTATACTGCAGGTATGCTTTCTCACTGGTTTACTCCAGTTATTTATTATGACAGGTAGAACAACAAAGAGAACTGTTTTTACTAAGTTGGCCTTTCAGGTGCTTTATGACTGCATTTGTCTATTCTTTCTTAAACTTCTTAGGCTAATATAAGGTGGAACCTTTGTGGGAGACAATTGGTTAAGATTTAGTTGTAGAGTTTTAAGTATTGTCAATTATTAACAGTAAGATGATATCTTGTTCTTGTTTTGCTTCCCCCACCTCCTTCCCAGAGAATTGCGATAGCATACTTAGTAGCAGCAATCTGTGAGATTTGGCTGAAGGGTGATGATCTTGTAAAATCAGAATTAAATCTGCTGAGGAAGTATCGGTTTCAGTGGTAAGTTTTTTTTAAACATGTGGTGACTCATATTTTATTCTGATATTAATATACTGTTGACATCTGAGCATAGCTTAATTATGCTGTGTTTTATAAGCACTTAAGTTTAGCCCTTTCTGTCATAACATAGTCATATATATATGGAAAGGTACGCATTAAGTCTTTGATTAGTTTAAAATGTTTTATTCATTCCCTTTACCAGAGGTTCATTTCTATTGTACCAACATTGTTGAAAGTTCTTGCTTAGATCAAATTGTTGACCGTTGTGTGCCCTCTTTCTCTCTTTTTTCTGTCTCTCAGGGTTGCTGCATTGGTGCTTACTATTATATATATTTCCTTGTTATATGGTTTATATGTTCCTGATTGGGAATATCAGATTCCAGTTGCAACTTCTTCATCAGCCCCAAAGTTTTTTTCAGTTAGTTCATCTTTCCTTTTGAAAATTTTCTTTCAAGGTTAAGAATTGTTTAGTAGAATTTGAGGAAAGAAACAGGCCACTGAGCAGTTCTGTCTTTTCCATTCCCATTCAAAGGTGAAATGTGGAGTACGAGGTGACACTGGACCAGCTTGTAATGTGGTTGGTATGATCGATCGTAAAATACTGGGTATTCAACATTTGTACAGGAAACCAGTCTTTGAAAGAACAAAGGTATCTCTCTTCCAAAAGCTTGTTTCAGTTGCTTATTGCATCATGTGCCATCGTTCCCAATTTTTAAAACTTGTTCTGTGCTATTTCCCCTTTTCAATAGCAATGCAGCATCAACTCACCTGATTATGGCCCATTACCTTCTGATGCCCCTTCATGGTGTCAAGCCCCCTTTGATCCCGAAGGCCTCCTGAGGTTTGTTTGCAGTTTCTTCCTCACCCTCTGGTGTATCTTTTTTGTCAATTATGTCCAATGCACTGGGAATGTATAGAAGGATATGTTATCCTTCTATACAGATGGATAGTCTTTGATAGCATAACAATGAATTATGTGCACCATTGTACGGCCACATTAAATGACAAAACATGAAATCAACAAGATATGAACTATTCTTTATTCACTCTGTGCTTTAGTTGCATGTTTATGGATTGACCTTGTATTTTCGGGTTGTAGTTCAGTGATGGCCATGGTTACCTGCTTGGTTGGTTTGCACTATGGGCATATCATTGTCCACTTTGAGGTGACAAATTTTTTATTTCATTGATTGCTTTTCTTTTTCTCACTGGAATTTATCAATGAATCAGAGTTTTGAATGTAGGATCACAGGGATAGAATTCGTCTCTGGTTGATATCATCTTCAAGTCTTTTAGTGTTGGGGCTTGCCTTGGACATTTTTGGTAAGTTTGCTATTTGTATTCTTATAAACTGTCGGCAATACTAGCACACTGGCAATGGTTTTCATCATCTAAGTCCTCTGCTTTCTTGTTATAGGAATGCATGTTAACAAGGCTCTTTACACATTCAGTTACATGTGTGTTACTGCTGGTGCTGCTGGCTTTCTCTTTGCAGGAATCTATCTACTGGTAGGATGAATCTTGGACATTTGATCTAATTTGCCCATTTGCTTGTGGTGTCTTCCATAGCCATAAACTTAGTTTTTCCATTTAACTGGTACAGAGGACAAACACAATTATTTGCCTGATTTCCTTAACTACTAAAAGTCACGCAATCTCTTAAACAGGTTGACATCTGTGGATATCGATGCATGACATTGGTGTTGGAGTGGATTGGGGAAGCATGCATTGATGATTACATCCTTGTAGCCTGCAATATCGTGCCAATTATTATACAGGGGTTCTATTGGAAGCAGCCACAGAGCAACATTGTAAGCTGTCTTGACCATGCCCTCTTGAGATTTCGTGGCCTTGTAATTTCATGAGTTTTCAATTTACTTTTCTGCTAGGATATTGCAGCCTTATTGATCCCTTGTTTGAACTTGTCCCTACCAGCTTAGCTTAATTGGCATTGGAACATGAAGTAGCAGTTTTGTTGCAATCCATGGGAATATTAGGGTAGCACTTTGCTCAGCTGGAGGCTCTCTCTCTCTCTCTCTCTCTCTTCTCTCTCTCCTCTCTCCACTTAAAAATAGAGTACCATAGTCGGTTGGACAGAAGGTTGGCTTTTATGTTTACGCATAGAAAGAGCAGTTGCTGAGTTTCTCTTCTCCGTTTCATATATTTGAAGGAAAACTGAATATCAATATCCATGCCATCTCAGGGCGGAATACTTCATTGTCTCTACTAAGGGAATTAATATGATCATCACGAGATTATCGTTTTGGCTTTTATGCCCATTTTATGTGTCAATATCACACCCCACA